TGGAACTGGCTGGTTTTCTATGAAGAGGAAATGAAGTGACTCGGGTGTTCAGGTGGCTGCCTGGTCAACACCAAGGAAAAGGTGAGGATGTGTGAGAAGCAGGGGTTTGTCTATGGGAGCTGAAGACCAGGATCCTTCCAGGGTTTGAAGTGCTGCGAAAGCCAGCTGGGATTCTATTTCACTCAGGCAGAAGCCAGGCCTCTGGACAATAAACAGCTTCCCTGGTAGCTAAGGGATGCTCCCATAGAGTGAAGAAAATACTCAGATGGCCAGAGAGAGAAGGAAGGCTGGAGGAGGAGGCTCCCAGGAGTCTCTGTACCTGAGGGATCTTTAAGTAATATGACCCATTTGTAAGCAGCACAAGGCCATGCTGACTCCAGGTTGTAATCTCTGTTCTCACATCCTTACTCCTTCATCACACAGATTTGTTCTGTTCAGTATTCTGCCCTAAGAGAGTGGCTCTTAGTTATGACACTGTGATTTATAACAGGAAATACATAGTTGGTGTTGGCCCCCACTTCTGACACAGAGCTCTTAAAACCCTTGGGAACTTCCTACCTGCTGAGAGTCACAAAGGTGTCGTTTGTTATGTTAATGAGGCCACTTTTGGACCCCCTGCTTTAGGGTGGGGGTTGGTTGCCTTGGGAACCAGCCAGGTGATTAGAGGGGTGGGGGCTGGAGACTGAATACAATCACCAGTGGCTGATGATTTTATCAATCAAACCTAGGTAATGGAGCCTCCATAAAAACAGGAAAGCTTCTGGGTTGGTGGACATGTGGAGGCCTGCGGGGAGAGGGGTGCCTGGAGAGGGCACGGAAGCTGTGTCCTGTCCCCGTATCTTGCCCTGTGCATCTCTTCCCCTGGCTGTTCCTGAGTTCTGTCCTTTCATAATCAAGTAATCATCTAGTGAGTAAATGGGTTCCTAGCTCTGTGAGTCAGTCTAACAAATTAATTAAACTCATTGAGGGCATCGTGGGAGCCTCTAATCAGCAGCTGGTTGGAGCACGGGTGACAGTTTGAGCTTCTGATTGTGGAGGGTGACCTTGTGGGACTGAACTGTTATCTGTGCCATCTGATGCTATCTCTGGGCACACAGTGTCAAAATTAAGTGGAACTGTAGGACACCTGGCTGGTGTCCTGAGAATTGCCTGTTGGTGTGGGGAAAAACCCTCACACACATTGGAACTGGCTGGTTTTCTATGAAGAGGAAATGTAATCAGGTGCCGTTTTGCTCTGAGATGTAGTCACAAGGAGGTCCAAGTCACCTCTTGTGGAAGTTAAATCAGAAAGCTCTCTGTTCTTCCACATTATGTCATTCTAGTCCCATAAGCCTGTGTTTCCTACAGTGGGAATCTGTAAAATTCTACGTGACTCTGAAAATAAATGTGCTATCTGGAAGTGGGATTGTTAGCTGGTACCCCAAGGGAGAGGAAAGTCTGGGGGCCAAGTCCTGCTGTAGTCATTCTGCTGACTGTAAGAGGGAGGGGTGGCATGTGGGAATGGGAAGAAACATCCCTGAGCAGGGGCCAGCTCTCTGTCGAAAATATCTTTCCTGTGTTGGGAGAGGTTCTATATGATTTTGTTTTAGGGTTGGAGAATAGCTGGTCTTTAATAAAACCAAGAGGGAGGGAGGCAGTGACTGAGTATTCTGCTTGGAGCTTGGCAGAAATAGGAGAAGCACAGCTGCAGGGAGAGCGGGACAGTGTAAACACATCTGGAAAGGCACGTGGACAGAGTAGGGGGAAATATGCAGACACAAGGAGAATGACACACAGTAGACCACAATCCCCGTGCCGCCCCTTCGTCAAGGGGAGATGGCTGATGACAAGAAGCGACTGCTAGAAGGGCGGGCTGGGTCATCTACACTGGAAGAGCGACTCAAACAGCTGTCTCCACACTCGTCTCTGAGCAACTCCTCTGTCATTATGCCATTTCCTATGATGCCATCACCCTGCCCAGAAAAACTCATGCACGTTGAAAGATCACTGCTAAAGAGGCTGATGCGTTGAACCCAGGTGCTAATTCCCCACTACTGGTGCCCACCCGTGGACTTCCCATGGATTAGATTAGCGTCTATCCTCCACTTCTTTCTGTAGCCCTTCCTTCTCTTTATTCTTGACACATACCCTGCTTCAATATTAGCTACTACTGCCTGAGAGCCTCCCCCAACTCTTCTCTCTTTATTCATCCTCCATCCCATACCCAGCCCCAACCCTCTACTGGAAACTCTGTTCTCTGCACCCAACACTGCCTGCATGATTACAGCACTCCTCACCTTTTATTATGACATAGAATTATTTATTATGTGTTTGGTTATTGTCTATGTTTTTCTGGCCTAGAACATAAGCTCTCTTGAAGCAGAAATCTTTGTACATTTTATTCACTGATATACCCTAAGCACTTAGAGTAGTGTCTGACACAGAAGATACTCCATATTAAATGAAGAAATTAGCAAATAGAAGGACAATCTTATCTAGTCCACCAGATTAAGTCACTGTGTATGCTAAAGTCTCGGAAGTCTACAGCTCCAGCCCAGTACTCTTTTCTGCATTCTAGTTCCGTAGAACCCTCTGTGTCCTTAATCCCGGCCCCTTGTTTTCCTGTGGGCTCTCAAATCCAACAGTTGAAAGAAGAATGCATTGCTCCCCAAATCTGATCTCCTCATGGCTCCTATCTTGACAAATGGCAACCATTTTACCCACTTTCCCCAGAGAGAAGCTTAGGTGTTATCCTTGACTCTTCTCTTTGTCTCAATTGATATATTCTACTGATGATCTAATTATGCAAAATCTGTATCCTCTCAGATCCTCTTTTTCCCATACCCACAGCCATGACTTGCTCAGAGTCACATTGGACAGTCATCAACACGTTGAGCAGTCTCCTAATAGAGCTCTCTGATTCGATTCTGTTTCTCTTGAGTTTACTTTATGAGACATAAATTTCTGCTAAGCTGCTAAAATTTTGTGGTTTTTCAGCAGCTACCATCATCTCAACTAATTAAATAGATTCACAATCTCAAATAAAACATTAGCCATTTCTAGGATAAAAATAATCTTCATAGGCTTTTTTCTAGAAACGTGAGGTGATTAGGAAAGAGCAATACCACCACATATAAGGTCAAAGAAGAAAATCTATGCCATCATCTTTTATCATGTGAAAGCATTTTAAAAGCTCAGCATCCATCTTACAATCTACTCTTAGTGGGAGAGGATGTAGAAATTCTTCCTTGGAATATCTACCTATACCAAAAGCTTATATCATATAAAGGAAAATGACTAGAGAAGTTCTCATTTATGAGAGAAACAAAACAAAAATAAATGTTATCATCAAAATAACATAAAAACATAATGTATACATAACAACATAATACTGGCTTTGAAGCACTAGCAAAGTTCCAGTAATAATTTTCTACTAAGTAATGTATTAATAAATATTAAATTATACAATAATTTTTGCATAGTATAAATTATGTGTGCTTTATATAATTCACACTTATAATTTTATATGTGATATACATCTACATGATATAAATATTTATATAAAATAAAATACATATTATATTTGTATAATGTGGTATATTGTAATTTATATAAAATTATATAATTTACAACTATAAATTTGTAATATATAATTTATAAATAAAACATGAAAATTATGTACCACTTGTATGTTATGCATATACTATATATAATTTTTTAAATGATATTAATTATATCATTCAGTGCACCAAGGCAGAAAAAAACTGAAGCAGGAGGCAAATTTTCATTATTTGCAGACAATACCATTGTACACCTAGACAATCTAAGATAAACTGATAAATGCCTAGAACTATTATGAAAATCTTCAAGGGTACAAAATAAATATACAAAATTAATAGGTTTCCTATATGTCAGCAATAATTGGTATGACTTTACTTGGAAAAAAAAAAACCTTGCAAGAGAAATCAAAGAAGACTTGACAAGGTGGGGAGAGGTATTGTATTTCTGCCTCCGAGGAATTAATGTATTTTAAACCTATGAATTCAGCACAAATTAATCCATAAATTCACTGCAATCCCAAACAAAATTCTAACAAGATTGGAATTGGGGTATGATAAACTGATTTTAGATTTCAACCAGCACATACTTGTGAGAGTAGCCAAGAAACATTACAAAGATCAAACAAATGTAAAGTATCTGTGAAGACAGACACTAGAACAAATTGTAAAATACATTGATAAATTGTGAAACAAAATAAACTACACCTGTCTTTTAAACCATGCACTAAAAGAATTTCATACACACAAAGAATTGCAATATACAAATGAAGTATATAAATGTTAGAAGACAGTATAGGTGAGTAACTATATTCTTGAGCTAGAAATGTTTTCAGTAAACAATACCAAACTCAGACACCAAAGATCAACAGACTTAACTACATAGAAATGAAAAACTGCTGTAGGTAAAACACGTGATACAACAGGGTGAAGGACAAACTGGCAAAAGATGTGTACTACCTGTGACAGAAGGAGGATCAGCATATTTTTCTATATTAATAGCTTTTATAAAGCAGTGAGGGGAGCAAATACCTGGTAGGGAAAAGAGGGAGAGCCACGAATTGCCGATGGAACAAAATTACATGGAAAAATATAATCTCACGATATACCAAAGAACGCAAATGAAAACAAGATCTTTTGCCTATCGTAGAAAAATTACTAGTGAATTTAGATGCATGGAATAGAACATTTGAAACAATGATGAGACGGCTGATGGACATCTTTTCCTGTGTCATATCTGGTTGGAGTGGAGATAGGACAGGGCTGAGTAGGCCTGTACAAATCCAAAGGCACAGGGCTTTTAGTGTGGAGAGAGAGAATAAAGCAGAGGGGAAACCTCATTGGGCTATATAGTAGGTGACGATGGGTGAGCACATCGTCTCGCCTGGAGTCCCTATTTTCATATTTACAAGTTCCCAATACAAAATCCATGTGGCTTTGGAATAGCTGGGTCGTTCTAATTACCTTTCACAGCCTCTTTCACAGCAGCATCGACAGGGAGGATGCTCTTCTCCACCAGCTCCAGGGGCCCTGGCCGGAGGGCAATTTTTTCACTGAGATCATCTGCGAGTCGGGCTCTTTTCAGCTTCATCTGAGCAGTTGGAATGGACCTCTCTGGAGTGGAGGCTGAAAGGTTGAAATGAAAAGGATCAGTTCTAGCATTTGGTTTTTTCTTTTGTAACCAAAACACATTGTATTCTACCATCTTAATAATTTTTCAATGCAATCATCATCATTTCACTGCATCATTTCAATGCATCATCATCATGGATTAGCAGCGAAGACTAGACACTTCCAAATAAAGGCAAAGAGTCAGGTGTGTGGCAAAGAGAAACTTGCTTGGCGAGGGTTTTTGAAAAAAAAAGTGTGATTTGGCGATTCCGGAAGCAAACAGTCCATGGGGCCTATGTGGCTTGCTGACCCCAAGCTACAGCATTTCCTGATGCACAACCTGTCTGTATGTTCTGCACGGGCTGAGCCTACCATAAATATTATCCATTATTATAATTAGCTATAGTAGTACAACTTCTTAAGAGTTTTATACTTGGTGATATTGACTGATTCAAATGTCCATGTCAATTATTAAAGAAAAAACATTCTTTGGAACAGCTCTTCAATTTAACAGAGGGATTTAAAAAATGGGATTTACCCAACAGCTTCTCATCCTTTGGAGGGTGAGAAAGGTCACAAGCAGAGCCCCAGATCACCCCGCTATCCCTCTGTTGGTTAGGCCCTGGCTCAGGCCCATGAAGAACCTGGGGGAGAATCTCACTTACCAGGGTTTGGAATGACCCAGAACAGTAAGTTCATGTGCAAGAGGAGTTCACAGCTTTACTCTCAACTTTGCCAGTTGAGAAGGTGAGTTTTTTGTGGACAAACCTCCCGGCCCCATTGCCCTGTTATTATCAGCCTGCTCACCCTGCCCTAGTGTCTGGCAGCTGACTAGCAACTTCCACACAGGACCTGTCTAGGGATGTCTAGTTGCAACCGGTCAGACCTGTCCAGAAGCTGCATCTGCAAAGCACAGGATGTGACATATCCCAAACCAAAGAACAGGAGTGCCTCTGTCTAAATCCTCTCCAAGCCACCCTGCAGGGCATCATGGGGCCTTGCTGGACCTCCGGCCTTGGGGGTCTTTCTGATTCCTCCTTGCACACCAACACAGGATTGATCTTCAGAAAACACTCTTTTCTTGCACCTCCCCCTGAAAGATGCTCCTCTCCATCTAAGTCTCTCAGTCCATTTTGCAAATTTGCCACAAACTGAATCGCCCCCACTAGTGACCTGAGATTCTCCATCCCCAACTGCCACTCCAATGAGCCTTGTCTCCTCCCCTCTGCCCCTCAGTCTTGCTGAGTTGGCTCTGTACATTTGCACAGTGAGCATCCCCACCGAAGGGTGCTGCCTGCCTTCTCCCTACCACCAATACTCTACTCTGCTGCCAGGTCTCAGCAGAAAGCCTCTTCCCTCCTCTTGTTCTGATAAATCCCTTTGTTGTGACTGCCTCTAGCCATTGCAAACATTGGTCCTTACATGGCTGCTTCTGAAACTAAGACAATGAACCCTTGGAGGGAAGGGATCATTTTGCATCTAGCAGATCCTTGGTGCTCCAGAGCATGAATTTCCAGTTTCTCTTTGGGAGAAAACAGGATCACCAGAGACACACCTCTGTACTAGGGCCACTGTGGTTCACAGCCAGACATTTTAACTCAAGACCATAATGATGAAACAAATAGTATTTCTTATGCTTGTTTGATTATAGTATTACTATGCTATAGTCACTGTTTTAAGTGTGAAAAGAGCTAAAACATTATAGAAAAGGAAGTGAAAGCACTGGGAAATTCCCCACTTAGGATCAACTATTTTTAATAGGTGGGTGTCTTTCTTTCTTAATTATATTAATCATGAGTGCTCTAGATTTCATCACCAAATCTGAGTGTAAATACAGTTATGTACATATTTTTTCTCTCTGGAATTTGACTGTCACTGTAATTTTGCTTTCTGGTCTTCTTCACCAAACATCACCTGGTAAGTCTTTTCTTATTAAATCAGTTTTCTTTTAAAGGCTTAGTTGCAATGGCTGCCAGGTGTTCAATCATATGGATGATGCATAATTTTTTCAACCAATCCCTGATTGTTGGACATTTCACTGTCTTCAATGTTTTGCCATTTAAAGTAATGTCATGATAAATATCATTGTACCTAAGTCTTTGTATATCTGATTTTTTTCCTTCAGTAAAATGCTAGGAAGTTATTAGAGCTAAAGGATGGACACATTTTAAAGGAATTCGATATATGCTGGACATTCCCTTTGTGCTTATAGAGAGTTAGGACATGGCAGAGCTAAGATTGGAACCTAGTTCAACACTTTCTTATCCACTATCTGGCTTCCCAATTTGATTGTTTACACGTGCTAGAATGACTAGATCTATTTCTGCTCAAAACCACCACTTTCTGATGGCAGGGGAGACTTTTTAAGAGGACTTGGCAGCTGTATAGAGACAAAGGACTCGGCACAATGGCCCACCATTCCATGGCATCCTGGTTTTGGGATTTAGTGAAACCTTACCTTGGAGTATGTGCATATTAACCAAGTTAGCACGGTTGGGCCTGTTTCTGACCTTGCGCTTTAAGGTGTCTTCAGTCTGTAAGCACAAACACAGAATAAATTCTGCTATTGACCTCGTACCATTGACTCACCTAGTTTTAACTTTAAAAGAAGCCTGATTTCTCTCAAAGGAGAAAAGTATTGTGTTCTTTTCATGGCAAATGGAACATGCAAGTATTCCTGGTCACCTACATTTTGACAGAAGAATGCTTACAAAAGCCTCTCTAGGAATTTTCGGATGGAAAAAAAAGATAAAGAGGTAAAAAACTTGGGTCCACATCAGGGCTACAAACAAGCATGGAAAGGCTGATAAAATACTAGTAAAACTGTGGTGTTACTAAGCTGCTTGTATTATATAATCAACCCTATGCTGTTGGCTCTTAAAACAGCCACAGAATTCATCAGGGTTAGAGATGAAACATAACCCAAGTCCACCTAGTGTGACATGACAACATAATGCCCTCCTGCTATTTGCCAGATCTCTGCCTTAGGACATGTGACAGTGTAAAGCCTGCTACAAAAACCCACCATGAGTTGGAAGGACACTTGGAGATAGATTATTTACTGAGTCTCATCGTCTTCCTGCTGATAGAGCTCTCTGAGGCGTGACGTGGGCTGTGGCAGGGCCATGACTGTCCCTGATCTCTAGTTCTGGGTTTTTATTCCACTGTATTGGATCTCCTGTTTGGCCCCTGAGAGGGACCCGGGAATCACTCCAGTTCTGATAAAAGACAGTTATTCTTCTTACAGTAGGAACCACAGCTTTAGTGAGCTGGGCTCCTTTCTCCACCCACAAAACAGCTGCAAGGCTAGAACTCTTACAATATCAATCCCAGAAGAAAAACATCTCTTTTTTCATTCCCTCCTCATTTATTGCTTGCTAAACAGTATTTGTATTATTGATAAGTTCAGGTAGAAGAGATTTGGTGTGAAGGTACAGAGTATATGCAACTTCCCATCCACCCCCAAATGCTAAAAAACCCCAGAAACAGAAAGAGAAATAAACTCCGTGCTTTTTGCCTTTAAATAACTGCAAATAAGCTGTATATCCATGGAGCCTACCTTCCCATTGAACTGGATTTTCAAAAATCTGATTATCGCTAAGAAAGGATGGTAATGAAAGACAAGACAGCTTGCAAAGGAAATTTACTTCCCTTTTCAAAGCCTCTTTGACTTCTACCCCATCCTTGCTGTAACCCTCCAACAGGAGAAAATTAAGGGAATGTTAATTTTACTTTAGAAAAAAGCGGTTTCAAACCTAACGTGGTTGATCTCATTAGCACGGTTTTCAGTCCATGGAGTAAGATTCCATACAGTGGCAAGGAACCAGCCCATTGGTTGAGTTTGTTGTACAAATTCTACCTGCTCTAGCCTAAATTTAGCATTCAGAGATCCATACCCTGGCATCTAAGTTCAAAAAGAGGGCTGTGCACAAAAAATTACCTTGTCACTATCCAAATGTTTTCTTTGCTCATTGAATTCAGTTGGATTTTTCAGTGCTGCAACAGAAAGACAAAGTCGTGAGCAGAGGCGGGCTTCGGGGCGCTGAGCAGCCTGGTGGCATTTGCCAGTGAGCTTGATGAGCTGTGCACGGTATGGCCGTGTTCGCCTTTATTAGGCCACAAGCAATTGAAGAGGAAAGAACTAAAGGATGCCAGCTTCCCTGAAGCCAAAGGATGCAGGGGAAGGTGGAATTTAGGCCTAAAACCAGAGGAGCAGCAGAGGCAGAATATGAAGCAGGAAGAGAAGAGGCAGAGACGGGCATTCCAAGCTCCTGAGGAAATGCAGGGGCCTGTGGAAAACCGGGAGCAGAGGTAATGCTCTGGTTTAAGGGGAAGGGGTATCCTGGGGTGGCTAACGTCCTCTTTGACTTGGCTCTGCTCTTGAGTGCAGAAGTCTGGGTGGAGGTTGTGGTCTCTGGGAGTGGGGTAGGGTGGTGAGGGGCTGTGTCCCAGGTTGCAGGGAGGGTCTCGTACTTTTGAAGTTGGTAGCTGGTAGGGCAGAAACATGCAGCTAAGGGTGCTGAGTGAGAAGCACAGAGTCAGACTTTGAGGGCTGGAAGGGACCTTGGAGAAGGTGAAATAGAACTGCAACCCTGAACTGAATGGAGAAACTGAGGTCCGCAGCAAGGGGTTGACTTGCCCAGGGTTATACACAGTTAGGGCTAAAAGCCAAGGTCCTCTGACAACCTAACTTCCTTCTCAGTGTGATGTTCAAAATGTTAAGAGCCAGTGGACACAGGCACTGGTCGGTCACAGTGCACAGCAGCCCAGACCACATGCTTCCTGGCTACTCCCTGCTGTTCCCTGTGCTTCATCCTCACTGTTGCAGGGTGCCTCTTCCCCAGGGCCCGTGATTTAGTGACCTCTTTTAACTCAGCAAGGACTCAAAACATCATTCAGCAAAATTCTACATTTGTTATGCGTTTTCCTGATACCTTGGAACAATCGCAATCAGGAGCCACGATCACTTTTCCTTAACAGTGATGAGGTTGGTTGAGAAGAGGTTACAAAATCATACTGAATACTTTTCTGAATTGTCAGTCTGGACCAGTTGATAAATCACATGATCCAGAGATCTAATATTATTCTAACAGATGACCATTTGTAAGCTGCAGGCAATGAACTATTCTTTCAGACTTTGGCCAGCATAAAAAATTGGGTTTCTGACCAGACTGGCACTTGAGGCTGTGTGTGCATGGGTGTGAGCATGTAAGCCTTATTCAGCTCTTACAATCAAACTAAATTTGAGCACAGTTTTCAGAAGGCCTTGCTGGGCCTCAAGTAAACTCCACTATAGTCCAGGTGGCTGGTCCACCATGTTCTCCTCTTTGAGGACACTGCTTGGAAGCTACCAAGACACTCTCTCTAAATCCCGCTGCCTCACGCCAACATGAACAATGTTGGACAAAGGAACCCACAGAATAGTCCTAGCTGGTTGCCTTGTGGTGAGTGCACTGGACAGGCACCTCTCTCCTCCTTTTAGCAGAAATTAAAAGGCTTCCCTTCCTACAGGAAAAAAAATGGAAAATGTTGCTGAAACCAGATTTCTCACTGACCTAACCCAGTTTCTCTTTGCTGCCTTCACTTTTCAAATGTGCTGGCTTCTCTGGAAAACCTGCCATTTCAAATGCCCCTCCCACCCCCCCACTTGTCCCCACTCAGTGGCTGAGAAGTCACCTGGGGAAATGTGCAGCTCTACCGCATCGCTCATGCACTCTCTCTGACTCGGGTTGGCCATCCTTTGTGCGGAGGCTGCCTTCCCTGCAGTTGGTTGTGGTGGCAATTTATACTGATAGAGTTCCGAAAGCAACTCCCATTTCCCCAGGCAACCAGATTCTACAAATCTGCTTGAAGAGCAGGGGGCCCTGGTGAATCTGTGCAATCTAAACCGATAGGTCTTTGCCTCTGCCCGACAGCAGCATGGTGGTCGCCTCATCAGGCATTATATGTTGTTGTGGTTAGTCACTTACACAATCCAGAAAAGAAATTGATCTTCGTGTGGCCTTACTAAATGGTTAAAAAAAGTAGCACATTCTTTTTCCTGACCCTAAGGGAACAGTATGACTCTCCCTTGAGAAATCACTCACATTTGGATCTCAATTGGTTATAATTGGGTTTAGGATTAGAAGGAATTTACCTGGCTCTTTAATTCTCATTAGCAAGTTTATTAATTGCTCTAAGAAGCATTGCATTTCCTGTACCTTAGCTTTGGGGGGCTGTAATTCGTCACTTCTAGGTGTTCACAAGTCCCCTGTGAAATGATTCACACAGTCCAGTTTCCTGATGCTAGGAACACAAAGGTCTTCTGGAACCTTCCACCACAGGGTGGGAGAAGCTATGTTTGCTTAGCAAGAACTTGTGTGGAAGGCTGAAGAGGTCCACACACTGCATTTTACCACACGCTATTCTCCTCAGAGCTTGAGGGATGTCATGTGGGGGCAGAGGACCCTGTCATGGCCCTGTGACTGACATTCGCCTCTTCTGTGACTCCCAGGGATGTGGGTTTTAGCCACCTCCCCTGAGGGCCAGGAAAGTCCGTAAATAACCCCCTCCCAAGTTGATGTTTTGGAAAATACATAAAGGACCTCTTTTGCTGCTGGCCTTGGGAGTATCAAATGGCAAAATTTTGTATTTAAGGGACATTGACATTTAAGATTGAAAAGGAATTTGGATTCCTAAATTTAAAAAAAAAGTCAGTGTGATTTCAAATTATAACATGGTTGTAATCTGTCAGCCACACATCTAACTCGTTCCCCCTGGAGGAAGATTAATCACTTCTCACAAGGGAATTCATGTTCTCGCCTCAGAGTTTAGTTACGGGCTATTCCTATTTCTGTCCCTGCAGCTCTGGCTAATTTGGGTCAGCTGTGTGTATAAACATTTGCTTACTTAGAGCCCAGAGAAAGATCCCAAGATAAGAACATGCCTCCTGCAGGCCCCACTCTGGGCTCTGACCTCATGCCTCTAACAGGAGCCCAGAAAAAGGAGAAAATAGGCTGTGGGGACACTGAGAAATCAGTGGGGGGTGAGGGGGTGGATGGGTAGGGACCTGATTCACCAGCACAGGGTGGGGGGCCTGGGTTTGGTGGCAGCTGTGGCCATGGAGGCAAGACTTTTCACACGGGGCTGCCCACTCCCAGTGTGGAGGAAGAGAACCCAGCTCCTTCAGTGTTACAGGTAAGAACCAAGAGGCAGAATCAAAGAACCTGCATCCTGGGACAGCAGCTGGAGCAGTGGTTCTCAAAGTGTGGCCCCCCGACCAGCATCTCGGCATCCCCTGGGGACTTGTTGGAGATGCCCGCTGTCAGGCCCCAGCCCAGGCCCAAGGATCTGATGCTCTGTGGGTGGGACCCAGGGGTCAGTGTTTTAACCAGCCCTCTTGATGATTCTGATGTACAAGTTTAAGAACCACTGTTCTGGAGTTGAGGAGGCCAGTGGGTCCTGATCTAGGGTCCTTGGGAATCTAGTTCAAAAAGGGAGTGATGGATTGCTAAGAGGGCATTTCAGCTTTCAGAAAGCTGAAGGCAAAGAGTACGTGTGCCCAGAGAAAGACTGCTCAGATTGGTGGAACTGTCCCCTTCCACTGTGGCTGCCTGGGATCATAAACAACTCGCTTTTGTAATGGTTGTTCTCATCAAAAAGCACTGGCTGGTAAGTTTAAATGTCATTAATAATTAAAAATAGATTTATGGATAAATAATTCATGAATGTAAGATTCTTTTGGGGGAAGGCAAAGCTATCGCCGGCATAGGATCAATAGCAGTCGGGGGTATAGTGAAAGATGTCTTGGGTGACTAAAAATCTGGGAACCGTCCATTTGGGCTCAGTTCTCACTTTGCCATTTATCTTTGATATAACCCCAAACAAGTCTAATCTTCTTCCTGAGCTCTCAGCTTCCCACTTATAAAATAGGCTTAGTAAAGCCTGTATACCCTTTGCCTCGCTTTTAAAGACAAATTTTATCACTCATATTTTTTTTCCAAGCAAATGGATACATGCCATGCGTAGGTGATAATGCCTTGGAAATCGCATTCGCGCTTTAGACTGGCAATAAATTGCCTATTCAGTACTCAAATGATAGTCTTAGGGGTCTGAAAATAGTGTAGCTTTGTGATACTTAAGACCTGACTTGCACACATTTGATGCAACATACATGCATACTTTGGAATTTCTCAGGAAAAGAATACAAGGGCAAATTCAAAGTATGCCTGTATTTACTGATTTACTAGTTTCTAAGGAATAAGGAACCAGCAAATTGAAGGTAAGGTGGGCACAAGAGCATAGGGATTTAGGATTGTTGACCCCAATGAGCTTGCCATGAAAACCCGGGGTGCCTTTTCCTATCTCTGAATTTGAGATGTTAGCAAGAAGGAAGAGGCGGACAGATCAAAACCCTTGTGCCGTGTTCTGCTCAGACAGCCAACAGTGTGTGGTAGGGTGCTGTGGAGAGAAGCCAAGTCACAGGGACGCACTGAGAGAAGAAAGGCAGGCTTCGCCTCGTCCGCTTCTCAAAGCTATCATGAAGCTGCGTGTGCTGTGGCGCAGGAATGGCCCCAGCCATTCTTCTTGCTATTCAGGAGAAGTATCACAGAATTCAGGGATTTACCAAGGCTTTGCAGTAAGTATGTGGCTGCTGTGGCTTGGATTAGTCTGCAAAACAAATAAAGGCAGCACCATTCATAGACAGCTCATTGTATCTTTAAATCCATTTACATTGATCAGATCATGAACCAAGCTGCCAGGCTTTCTCTGAGTCTCTGTGGGGATGTCACAGCCTCTCTGGGCTTCTGGGCTTCTATAATCCATTTTGGTTCTCTAATCTCATTTTCCGTGTTCCAAAATAATCTAAGTGTCCCCTCCTCTCTCCCCTGGGTTCCTATTGGTTAGCAGAGGGAGAGGGAAAGAGAAAGTAATTTCTTTCCCTCTGTGCTCTCAGATACTCACTCCCATGCAGTGGTGTGACATAGTCCAATATTCTTAATAAGGACAATGAAGCAGGGGCGACGCGGGGCCCCCTCTAGACTGTGTGCTCTTTGAAACCGAGTTCCACAAGGCCTTCCTCACAGCAGATGGTCAAAATATTTACCGAACTGCTCATGGCCATTTAATGAATCTAATCCACATAGTTGACCATCCTTCTGCGCTAAGGCTTCTGAACTGGTTGGAATAAAATGGTGTTGCTTAAGATTCTACCCAGGAGAGCGAGGCCCAGGGAAACAAACAGAGTGGAGAAAACTTGCATGAGCAATGTGAACAGCTCCAAGCTCCACAGATCCATGAAAGGAGGAGTGGGGTCTGTCCTAAAGCCATGGGAAAACGGAGACCCTTGAAGCCGCATTGCAGTGTTGAGCTCTAAAGGGAGGGCAGTGAAGCCTTCTCTTTGAATTCGAGGTGATGATGGCAAAGTAGGCATTTTGAGATTCAGAGGTGGAGTTTTGGGGAGAAGTCCAAGCAATACATTCTTAAAGTAATAGTTCTAAGTTAACTTGGGTAGGCTATGTCACTAGGATTCCATGACTTTTGAGAATGTGAACTCTATAGCTCATCTTACACACATGAAACAATCTTAGAATGTGGCCTGGGCCCATGCTCCTGGCCTGAGAACATTTAACCCCTGAATCAAGTTGTGCTAGGGCCTCAGAGCCCTGCCCTTCCTGACTAAATTCAAAGAACAATCCCTTCAAATTCATTCAGAGAACCTGGAGGTGAAAATCCTAAACCCCTGAGGTACACAAATATGAAATAAGTAAATGCTTCACAGAAGCGATTCAGGGGGATTATAAAAAGAGAATTTTTCTGTAGACTGTTGGTTACGCATCAGCGACTTCAAAACTTGCAGGATGCATGCTCAAGAGAAAGGAAGGAGTTAAATTCAGTCCATTTGGACTAGTTTCACCAGTCACCTAAGAATTACAGGTGGTTCTATTCACTGGAGTCAGTGGGAGGGGAGAAACCTTGTAATTTAATCATCAATTTGGTGTGTAATTGAAGTGAGAGTCACCAGACAGCTAAGTCAGTGAAATTTTTCATTCACTCTTGGTCATGGTGAGGCATAGATTATGATGTAGTACCCCAAACCCCAAACCACCCCATTAAAACCATTGGTTTTCCCTTGACATTTTCTTATACATATATATATGATTTTCCCAAATTCCTACTGGACAGTTTGGCTACAAAATGCTTGATGATAGAAACTTAAGCAAGTGCTTGTAAAGTTCAAGTGGTTCCTTTTGAACATATGAGAAAGGAACCGTAAGCAGGAGTCAAGAATCAAGGTTCTGGCCTGAGTTCTGCCACAGTAAAAGGGGTGGCATTTTTTTCTGGTGCTTTTTTTTCCTTCAGTGGGCTTTGCCCTTGAGATCTAACCTAATGTAAAACTCAAGACCAATTCTGCTGAAGGATAGCAGGTGTTTCCATGGACCAGCTAAAAATGGGAGTGCTATACAATGATAATAAGGATGCTTAATTCACGTGGCCATCAGCTTTCAACAATGTAGGCAATTTCATGGTAAGTTTTACAGTTTGGGAGGAGGACTGCAGTTATTTCAAACTGTATGGATAAAATGAGATTACATTACTAATCTCACTATGCGTGCATTTAAATTTTCACAGTGCACGTTTGCAGAAAATAAGACCACATTGAGATGTGCCTTTGGGACATTCAAAAAATCTCTTAGTCCTCTTCAACCTCTGTTTCATGAACATTAAAGACAAGGGACTTGGGCTAGGCCAGAGGTTCTCAAACTCTATTTTGGAGAGAACCAGCTCTCTGTGGAGGATATTCAAGGGAGTCTAGGAGAGATGAGGGGGCCCAAATAAATGAGGAAGAGGCCTCCACTCATATCAGCCAGTATATATATATACACACACCATATAAGATAGCTGTAACAATTTAAAAAATTGAACATCACAGAATTAGATAATCTCTGATAACTATTAGTTTTTTTTCCCTCCATGCTACTCCTTTCCTTCTTCCTTTCTGCTTCAAAAAATTCAAATAGTAGACTGAAGAAACAAAAAGTCCTCTTGGGGAATGTAACAAGTTCCACCTTGAATTATACCTATGTGTTTTTATTATCACCTTTTCCCCTAAAATATGAAGTTTCTCCAAAGGACTGTCTTGCCCACTGTGGTACCTACAGTGCCCAGCACACTGCCCTGCATATAGTCTGATTCATGATAAAATTGGTTGAATTTGACTGAATTAAAAGGACCCCAAGTCTCAGCAACTCTTACCTCTCCCACCTGGCTGCCTTTACACAGGAACCCTTAGATGCCTGAGTAAACACTCGTGGCTCTGCCCTGGGTTTGAATGCATGTTTAATTCATGAGCAGACAGAAGAGCATCCCTGTCTTCATCACCAGTCTCTGCAAGTGAAGAGGCTCATCCAGGGTCTAGCTTTCTGAGAAGAACCAAGCAGTCTGTCTGGTCTGGCCCCCGCCTGCTGGGGCCTGGACATTTTCACAACAAAATCCACCTTAGAAAGCCTGGTTGACTACATTGACAGACAGAAACTACACTAGTTGGGGTGAGCAATTAATAATGTAGATAACTGCTAAATCGCTATGTTGTGTATTTGAAACCAATGTCATATTAGAATTCAACTATACTTGAATAAAAATATATCAAAAAAAGAAAGCCTAGGGGGAGGTGGCTGAAGACTACAGAAAACTGACAATGCTTTACTATCTTTATAATTTTGCTGAATTAAAAATAAAAAAATCACTTCTTCACTCATAGGACTTTTTTTTCCAGTTTTTGTCCTAATGGTACAGTGGACTATGGAGGCAAAATTTTGGTGAAGCAGTGTTTCATTAATAAGTGCACTCTTTGCTTCTGGAAATCTTGGAGAACAAATATTGTATCCCTATAGGATCCTCCCCCACAAATGGACATTTAAGTTACACAGCGTATGTAGAGGTGTTATCTGAAAAGGTATCATAGGGTTCATTGCTCTCATCCAAATGCCAGTTGCAAGATCCAGGCTCCAAGTATTTGAGCACATGGTTTGAACTTTAAATCACATAGAAGCAGTTTGAGCTGACTGCAAGATGCTGAGCCTGCTATTACCTCCATTTTCCTTTCCAGAATTAAAGGTAAGAAATACCAGTGAGGGGATAGATTATGTTAATACCACTCCATCCACATGTTCATCTAAATTTGCGGGCATGTGGTATAGACTATGGTCCACTGAGTAGACCCTGGTGGATCTACAATCTGCTTTTAGTGAATAATTCTTCTGGATGATGGTTAAACAAATTAGATTCTATGCATTCGCAACAGAAAAAGACTGGCCTGGTGAGCTTCTAGAGAACATGTACTCATCTGCCCTGGAGCCTGCAGACCTCTGGTCCCTCTGGTGTCTTTAGCACCTCTACTGGTGGCTGAAACAGGCCACACAGACTTGCTGTACATTTTGGTTAAGCAGCCTTCAAACTGCCAAGCTCATTGTTTCTTTTGTGCTTAGAAAACCTCTAGAAATGTCCCACTATAAGGCCACAGGCTGTTTACTGTTTGTAGGACTTAGCCATTAACAAAGAGCTATTTTTGAGTTACAGAGGAAAATGCCTGAAACATTCTTAATTCTAGCTCCAAAGCACAGATTATTTTTAAAATTTTAGGCCTTGGGTCATAGGACTCCAATATTCCTAATTGCAGGACATTTTGTCAAGGAAAATTTCTGCTTACTGTTTGTTTGCTAAACTCTGGAGTAATAGTCACGACAGAGATCTAGATTTCTGCATGAGTCACTATGATCTGGATATTTTGTTATGAAAGAAAGTTAGAAATTGTGACCTAAAAGAGCTTAAACTGTGACTTCATTCATCTGGGGCACCCTTTCCTCTGTTTCTATAGATAACCAAGAGTTAGCTTTAATTGCTAACTTGGTAAGAAAATTTAAATATATCTTCTAAAAGATACGATAGATCTTCTTTGTCCCAAATTTTGGTCAGTAATTCATTATTATACCATTGATGTTAGAATGATATTGCTATTCAGTATTCCAGAAAGGGGGCATGTGAAAACATCCATCTAATTGTGGACCCAAGTACCCAAACAGAAGTGAGACCTGGGAGGTGAGAAAAAGATTAGGTGATTGGTGTCTCTGGGAAGAGGAGTGAGTATATTCAATTCTCAAAATGAGTGAATTGCTTTTACCCCCGAAATTAAAGCCACCAGGTTGGAACTTTAGATACAAGCTATTTCATTAAAGGGAAGCCCCTGTAGGAAGGACCTTTTGGGGCAGAACATCCACAGTCTGGGATTTCCGCTGACTGTCTATGAGGATCTTGGGAGACCAACCCATGGGCTTAGAGTAAATGCCCTCTGAGGTGCTTTCCAGCTCCCAGATCACATGGTCCCCTGGTGATGTATCCATAAATAGAGACGTAGCTACTCACGTGGTATTAAGCCTTGGTGAGCCAGTTGTTCCTGGGTCCTTCTCTGTTGAAGTCGTAACTGCAAAACTTAGAAAAGGAAGCGTTAGTTTGTGAGTTGAGCTAAATATGAGTGCAATCACTTATATTCACATCATTCTTCTTTTGCATAGCTCTTCTCATTTTATTTTTAGAACAGTTCTGGAAGTTTGTGTGAGGTACATTTTTGTTTCTGTTGTGGACATGGAGAAAGAAGGGTGAGGGGAGCCGAGGGGTGGCAAGGATTTGCAGGTTGGTAACAATCTGGGGTTAGGACATTCGTCTCCTCTTTGAAGTGAATGTTATTTGCACAACACTGTGCTCCCTCTCTCCCCACTACACCACTTGGGAGATGAATACTATCAGCTTCTGCTGGGAATTTGCCCACTATTTCAAAAGGGGACACAGACTGATGAAGGGATAGGTTTTGGAGTCTCACCTGGGTTCAAATCCATCTCTAGCCCTTTCATAGGTGGGTAACACTGGGCAAGATGCTTAACCTTTCTGACCCCCAGTTTTCTCATTTGCCAATGGAAACAACACCTACTTTGCAGTCACTATAAAGTTCGATAAAACACTGTATCCAAGTCACTTAAAAGAGGGAACAGCCCATAATAATTCATCAATAAATGGCAGCATAACAAAAATCTGGGATCCATTTGGAAATTCGCAGGACTATCAGAGTCATGCTTTGCTTAGAAAAATTGAAACACTGTACATTGTCCAAACTATACTCTATATTATAAAAATTTATGTTACTCTCCAGAGCACACATATATTCTATATATCATATACATATATACATATAACTAGTAACAGAATGGAGGGAAGAGGAACAAAAGAGAAAAGGCAAGGGGAGTGACTTTCAAGTTTATTTAGTATTTCAGAGTGAGGTATCAGATCCACTGCAGTCACAAAATAAACTGAAAGTTAGATTATGGAGAAAGATAATTTTTAATATGTTGCTGTGGTTTTGACTTGGAGCCTCATCAACCTTCTTTGGGAGAGATTATTGCTGTTGAATTCTTTTTAATTACTTTCCCTCACTAGACTACGCTTCACTGAATAGCCTCATGTAACTCCATGTTAGGACTGGACAATAGAGAGGACAGAATTATTTTACTTTGTGGATGAATGAAAATGATATGAGAGTTTGTTATTTAAGCCCTCCTTCAGACCAATCCCCACCCCTACTAACAAAAACCTGAACAAAATACAAAAAAATAGATACCTAATGATTCTGAACTGAAAACAGAATCAGGCAGATTGTACAGGGGAGTTCAAAGTTGGATAAGTGACTTGTATGAGGGTGAATTTCCCATCTGGGGGATAACTGAGGGTGGCCTTGGTCATGAAGTGGTGAGCCATGGGTGACTAAACCCCCAACAGAAAACCTGCTCAATTTTCTGGCCGGAAGGATCAGGGAAAAATACCCAGACTACCATGGCTGACCACCAGAAACTGAGGGGGGAAACATGCAGGAGAGAGAGCTGAGAAGGAAGTGGTCCCCTAACTGTGTATGAATCCCCACAAGTTTCAGGTTGATCCCTTCATGATGTTTCCATGGGACAGACTCAACATAGCACAGCCAAGGTTTAAAATCAAACCTAAAATTTGAACCTCTGTGCACATTGACAAGAGAGAGCTTCAAGTTCATATCTGCCTGAGTTTATCATATGCTAAAACACAAAACATGAGCATTCTCCAGAGCACTGTAAAAGGACTTAGTCTACAGAACATGAGACTCACAATGTCCAGGGTCTAAAATTAATATACACACAAAGAACCAGGAAAGTGTGACCCATTCTAAATGGAAAAGATGATTGACTGATGCTATGTTTGGGATGACCCAGATATTGGTATTATTAGACAAGGACTTAAAGTAGTTGTTTTCAACTATGTTCAGTGAAGTAAAAGAAACCTACTTGAAATGAGTGAAAAGATAGGAAATCTCAGCAGCAAAATACAGCACACCAGAAGAGGCCAAATAAAAATGTTAAAATCTAATGGCAGTATACCTGAAATAAAAAAAAACAAAACATTGCATGAGCTTAACAGAAGGATTAATATCAGAGGACTGAATTAGTAAACTTGAACAGAGATCAAGCTGAAGAAGAGAGAGAAAAATGATGAAGATATGGACAAAGCCTCAGGAACCTGTCCATAATATCAGAAAGTTTAACATCAGACCATTAGAACCCAGAAAGAGAGGGCAGGAATAAACAATGGCCCAGAACCCCCCATATTTGGTGAAAGATATACATTTACAGATTCAAAAAGTTCAACAAATCCAGAATCAGACATAGTCACAGAGTACCACATTTCGATACATCATAATCCAGTGGCTGAAAACAAAAGACAGAGAAAATCTTGAAAGCAGTCAGGGAAAAACAACCCATTATATAAAGGGAAACACTGATGTGAATAGTCACAGACGTCCCATCAGGAGCCACAGCAGCGAGGAGACAAAACAAAAACAAAACCCAAAACAAGACAGAACAGAAAGTGTCAGCTCAGCATCAAAAATGTCCTCTAGGAATGAAGGCGAGATAAACATATGTCAGACAAAGGAAAAATAAGATAATTTGCTGCCAGCCGACTTTGCTATGAGAAATGCTTAAGGAAATTCTTCAGGCTGAAGGGAAGAAGGAAATGTGTATAGTCAGGAATGACTAAAGAGTATCAAAAAGGTTAACTATCTGGCTCAATATGCAAATTTTTTCTCTTCCCTCTTAAGTTTTTAAAAATTTATTCATGTATGCACATCTCTTAAAAGTAGGTAATAGTTCATATTTTCTCTAGCAGTCACTCTCCTTGCAGCACACCTGACATATATTACTGATTTCCCTAAATCTCCAATTTCCCATGAGTACCTTGTATGGGATCCCACAGTGACACCTTATTCTAATATTTGAGGTCTTTTTTTCCCACAAGCACTATTCTCTGCACAAACTTACTCCTCCCATTCAGTCTGTCTCCACCTGAGCCCACATCCTGCCATGTGTGTTCGAACCCTCTGCCTTTGATTATGATAACTCTGTATGTGTAATCTGGTGTATGGTTTAGGGCTAGGTTATAATTTTAATTTATTCCAAGTAGTTGGAAAATTATGAATATTTCTACTTATTAATGAATTTTTCTTTGCTCATGAATTTATAATGCCACCTTCATCATTTACTAAATCTCTAATGTAAGCTATGACATGTTTCTAGGTGCTAAGTTCCAGTTTATACTTCTGATACTTTTCTCTTTTTTTAGCAGCAAAAAGTAATAAATGTTTTCTGTTTCAAGACAGCAGAATGAACACACACTTGATTCCTGCAAATAACGGAAATGATGGTTTAAAAAACCCATACCTACACTGGAAAAGACAAAGGGGATTCCTCTCTGGACTAGAACAATAAGCCATCTTTAAGAGATAAAAAGAATATGGGGTTGGATTGTAACACTACATCCCAAGGCAATGCAAGTGAGTGAGTGAAAGCTTTGCCAAGAATCCCCCTTGCCCAGGAGCAGGAGGGGGTCTCAGGCTCCATCTAACAGGGTTGTTAGTGGGGGTACCAAAGCGAAAGGTCAATCTCTACCATGTCCTGTACTCCTCCCCACATTGCACCAACCATTAGTTGGGGAGACGGGACTTTCTGTGTTCAGATGGGAGCAGCAGTTACGGTATTTTGGGGGACACAGGAGGGGGCTCTAGGTTGTTGGCAATACCCAAGAGGGTCAATAATCCTCCCATTGCCTACAACTAGCTACTGGTCATCCTGTGCCTCTGTCCCATCTCTGAAATCAGATCAAAGCATGGTGTCCGCAACATATTGCTTCCCCACAGGCTGCACTATCTGGACATCAGGCAGTCTAACGGGTTTCCACCAGGGCACAATGTGAGGGTACGATTGAGAAACACCTAACTTGGGAGGAATGCCAGCACCACGAAAGAAAGACTCCAAACCTACCACAAAAGAACATTTACTCAACATGACAGTGTGAACAAATGGGAAAGATCTGCCTCAGAGATAGACAAGGGAATTTTCCTTATTGAAAAACAAAAGAAAAGAATCACTTCACACCCATTAGGATGGCTGCTATAAAAAAGAAAGATAGAAAATAACAAGAGTTGGCGAGGCTGTGGAGAAATTAGAACCTTTGTGTACTGCTGGGAGTAATGTAAAATGGGTCAGCCACTATGGAAAACAGTATGATGTTTCCTCAGAAATTAAAAATGGAATTATCGTGTGATTCAGCAGTCTCACATCTAAGTATCTATCCAAAAGAAGTGAAAGCAGAAACTTGAAGAGATACTTGCGCACCCATGTTTATAGCAGCAATATTCACAATAACCAAAAGGTGGAAGTAATGCAAATGCCCACCAACAGATGAACAGACAACTAAAATGTATATAAACAGAAGACTCAACATAGCACAGCCAAGGTTTAAAATCAAACCTAAAATTTGAACCTCTGTGCACATTGACAAGAGAGAGCTTCAAGTTCATATCTGCCTGAGTTTATCATATGCTAAAACACAAAACATGAGCATTCTCCAGAGCACTGTAAAAGGACTTAGTCTACAGAACATGAGACTCACAATGTCCAGGGTCTAAAATTAATATACACACAAAGAACCAGGAAAGTGTGACCCATTCTAAATGGAAAAGATGATTGACTGATGCTATGTTTGGGATGACCCAGATATTGGTATTATTAGACAAGGACTTAAAGTAGTTGTTTTCAACTATGTTCAGTGAAGTAAAAGAAACCTACTTGAAATGAGTGAAAAGATAGGAAATCTCAGCAGCAAAATACAGCACACCAGAAGAGGCCAAATAAAAATGTTAAAATCTAATGGCAGTATACCTGAAATAAAAAAAAAACAAAACATTGCATGAGCTTAACAGAAGGATTAATATCAGAGGACTGAATTAGTAAACTTGAACAGAGATCAAGCTGAAGAAGAGAGAGAAAAATGATGAAGATATGGACAAAGCCTCAGGAACCTGTCCATAATATCAGAAAGTTTAACATCAGACCATTAGAACCCAGAAAGAGAGG